GGTTTTGTGGTGCCCGGAGGTATATCATATCGGTTGGCATTCTAAACGTTGTTTTAACCGTCTTTATCAGTTGCCGAGTCACTAGTGCACTAGGTTGTCGTTTATACCGGTAACATTTTGGTCTTCTATACAAGAACATGGCTCCTCCGGCTAATAGGGCGAGGGCGAGCTTAAGTGGCGAGAGCCGGGCGAGGGCGAGCCGAAGGCAAGAACGAAGCCCCCGGCTCAAGACACTTAAGCGAGAACGAGCCCGGCCGGTGGAGACCAGTTCTTGTTGGAACCGAGCAAGAAACCACCTCTAAGTAAAATATTCGAAGTTAACAGCTCGCAACTGGCAACACCATACGGTATGGTTTCTTTTTCCGAAGTCCCCCAAAAGCCGATCCATGCTATTTGATGCACCAACGGCCAACGACGTACCACCTCCTACACAACGAACACCATGTGATCAACACACCCACAGGCACCACCATGACAAAGCACCACCATGACAAAGCCTCGTGCAGCAAGGGAACAATAATAAGCCCAGGCATGGCCCTCGCGGCCTGAGCAACGGTAGCAACAGCAGCAGCAGTCGTCGAGTCGAGTTAGACTAACAGCCCTCCAAGAAACAAACAAAAGCAAAGAAGTGTCAATAGAAGAACAGTGTCAATAGAAGCAGCAGCAATTCACTTGCAAGCGCTGCAACAACAAGCCCTCGCAGCGTGACCGCAGGATTCAGTTGCGACTCCTTCCTCCGACCGTGGTCAGCTCTTATCGTGTGCCAATGGATGTTATATTGGAGGAGGAGACAGTCGAGCGTCATTGATTTAATCGAATCGAATCTCCAAACGTCATCAACGTTCACAGATCCGTGCCTTGCAAACACACACGCCACTACTGCTTCTGCCGATGCCGTAACAGTGTCATGGTGGTTGCTTGTAAAGGTGTCGATCGATTGCTGGAAGAATAGAGCACATGATCGATACAGTACACGCAGAGGACTCCCATCGATTGCGGTTGTGAGGGCGCTCTTGGATGGATAGATCCAGTATCGGAGCCTTTGCAAGTATCGGGGGAGTCGTGGCAACGGTAAATCGGGCACCTCTCGAAAATATTTCCAAAATAATTCGAGCTGGGTTCCGTTCGACTTCCGTATCCATTGTGCATGCGTGGAGCGAGGATCGCGCACGGTCGCGCAACAGCCATTTGATTCGCTGTGGGAAAAAAAATACGTGCAGGCACAAACTACTCCGCCGATTTAGTTGCTTGAGAATTTTAAAAATGGTGAGAATTCGCTGGGAACACTGTGGAAACACCATGTCACCACACTTTTGAAATTATCTGCTTGTTCCTGCTTGGGCAAATCCTCATCAATAAACACACCACATTTGGCTTTCAAAGATACTCTAGCAGTTCAACCAATAGAGTCACCCTAGCAATACTTTGAGATAGGGAATACATAATTTGTATGTGGCGGTCGCAGTGGCGGTAGTGGCTTGTTCATTTGGCAGCCATGGAAGTAACAAACGACTAGCAAAGTGGGGAACTCATTTTTGCATTTTCTATTGGTGCTGCCAGACTCCAGGCGATCTTTGAGTCCAATTCCAGTCTAACCAAGCCCAACATTGCAGCCATGGATACACCTATGCGGCCAAGGAAGCCTGGTGAGAGTGCAGCTGCTGTTCTTATGCGATTGTCAATGACTGAAGAGGAGCCAGCCATCCTACATTGACCGAAAGATGTGTCGATGCGTCGATGCGTCGTTGGAACGGCCGTCGTCGAACGAAAGACGCTGGGCACTGAAGAAGTAGTACAGTATGTAAATGGAATGGAAGAAGAGTCAAACAGATCTATTCCTTTGTTATTGATAGTAGCCGCTAATACTGGTGGTATTGTACGGTACCTGTAGAGTCGAGTCGTCATGGTCGCTCGGAGAAAGCTCGGTGGTAATGCAAAAGCAGTCATTCATCCATCGAACGCAAGAAGCTCGCTGCCGCTGTTTCCAGCATAACCAAAACAAGAGGAGCCTGTCATTGTGGAGACTTCATCAAAAGGAGTACTCAGAGTAAAGAGGACCTGATCAAGGTACATCATCAATTACATTGTCTGTGGAGGTAATCGAAACCATGAACAGCGACATCTGATTACAGTATGTCATGCAGCGTGTAGTTGCAGTAGGGTTGAGGCTATGTTTTACTCTCTAAGTCTTTTCTGTTTTCCATAAATCTTTAATATCGAGAGTTAGGGGTCAGGCTAGCAATGCAGTCCTTGCAGGACTCATCATTTCCGTTGTGTTCTTAAAATAAGGGTTGACATACCGGTATCCCAAACGGTGCTTAAACTTAAGGGCTTTCAAGTCAAAACGCAAAACGTACAGGCTGGTTTTGGTGGGTTTGAGAAGTCAAAGCCAGCCTGTATAAAACTTGAGAATTCTCAACTTAATCGCCGGAGTAGCAAACGAAGCATATTATTTCGTCGTTGCTGTTGTTGTTGTTGTTGTTGTAACTTTGTTAAAGAGCGCATTATCCTCATCATCATGTTAGCAGATGGTGAAGCACCTACGTTGGATGAAACAGCAGCAAGAGCTGCAAAAAGACACAAAACAAGAGTCGCAGCGGAAGTCGGGCGTGCCACGATAACAAAATGTGATTTCGATGTCCTGCTGTTGGTGGAAAAAAGTTGCTATGAAAATGATGATGGGACACGCAAGGAGCTGCGAGGTCAATATGTGCCGGGCAAGGCGGATTCTAGGCAGCTTAAAAAGGTAAGTTGTTGTGCCTACAGTAAATTACAAACATATGATGACTCAACTGTTCACCGTGTCGTGTCGACAGGCCTCGAAAGAATTTTGTCGCCGAGCGCTAGAAGGACTCGGCTCAATCCCTCCTTTCGTTCTAGTAGCAAGGAACATACCGGAAGCTAGCATCCCTTCCCCGTACGAGATACCTTCTGACTTTGAAGTGAGCGTTAGTGGGACAAAAATATCTGTGCACAAGATCGTATTGGTCCACTACGGTGGAGACTTGTACATTGTCAAGATCGCATCCGGTCCCACCCATGCCCAAGCCGTTACTGAGATCATTGGTCAAATTCATCCTTATAAAGCTGCTCGCCGAGATATTTTTGACTTTGCTAGCGATGGAATCTACGAAATGCCGGGCACGGGGGGTCACCAAGCCACATTTGGAGGAAACAGAAAGAATTTTGGTTATGCCCCTGACTATGGTATCCTATCAACTTATCCATTTCAGCAAGGAATTGCACTGCTTCGGGGAGTTTTCATTGCTGAGGCGGAAGTTTTTAATCGGGATGCAGCTGCTTTGGTCTCGCGGATGTCTGAATATGCCAAGATTCCGCAAAACAAGTATCTGTTGGCTATGAAGATATACAAGGATCGGGTCCAACACGTCCATCATTCAGCAATCGCAGTGCTGTGGAAGAGGAACAGAAATTCTGCAGCATACGATGTACAAGAAATCATGAACTTCGGGCTTTTAAAACACAGCCAAGCCAGAGGAGATTGATAAATGGATCGAAATCGAGACCGGCACTTTGAAGAAGCTTCCCCCCCGCCAGGTCAGCAGAAGACATCAAAGCCGCTGGCAACACGCACCTGGAGTAACACATGCGGTAGGTGCTGTTAAGTCACAATCGAACGGGAATGTCACATTGCAAATTTTGGATCAAGATCTGGTTGACGGGGTGGTAGATGCGGAAAACAATCCTGTTGTTGTTGACAACGCCCACCACATTGACATCGATTTCGGAAATATTTTGAATGCATGCGATGGTTTTGAAGGCTAGACTTTTGGAGGGTAGGTTATATACATGCCCATACACAACAAGGATGCTGGCTTGTGCAGCATGTTCTACTGGCTCTAAGTAGCCAGATCTACATATTGTTCCAGTCCAGTCAGGGACTGATGAAGTAAGCATCAATCCAGTTAGGGATTGGATGCATATGCATGCTTGTTGGATCCATGTCATGAGTGAAGGGATGTGGTGATGTTGATGAAGTTTTTTATGATAAGCAAGCTTTGGATGTGACGCTGAGTGGAACTTCCTTCATTCTTCTTACACGTTAGACGATTTGCTTAAACTAGATTGCAGTTAGCCATTAGAGACCTTCTTCTTCTCGCATCTTCTTCAAACGCCTTTCCATCACTTCATCCTGCACTAGCTGGCGTTTGTGTTTGCGGACTTCAGCTCTTTGATGAGGATTCCACATGGTTTTCATGCCGTTGTCACCGCAACGGATTTTCCAGATGTAGACCGGCTGTCCGTCAGCATCGCGGTGGTCTAACGACAGATTGGCGCGCACCCATGTGTCATCAATTTTATAGTGAACCTTATAGCGGTCCTCTGAGAGTCTAGTGGTGTGCGGCAAGTGGTTCGAAAAGACGATTACGACGTTGGGAACTTTGGGGTGCTTTCCAATGGGAACATATTTTCCTGAGGTCATATCACCATTCTTGATCTCCTCTAAGAATTCATAGGGTAGCGGGATGGCTTCCCTTGATTTCGGCATGTCGAAGAGGAATACATCTTTTTCTTCTTCAAGAAGGTAACAAAGGTTGTCATTCTTGGACGGGGTGAAATGCTGGACTCTGGAGGGGTCTATGTGAGTGAGACCGAGGTTTTTTGCTTCACCGCTCTTAATGCTTCTACACATGCGACTCTTTCCTGCTCCACCCTTGGGGTCTATGAAGAAGTGAATATGCCGGTCACACGGGGTTTTCAGGACGTCGTAAACTAGTGAATGCCACGGCATTGAATGAAATTCGCCTCTGGGCATTGGCACGGGGCGGCGTGCATTGAAGATTTCCAGTGCCCAGTTGCGCTGCTGACCACAGATCTCAGGATAAGCTTCTGAGTACGCTCCATGTCACTCCTTCTCGAACCTTTTGGATGTATTCCTAGCCCATGTAAGTGGTGAAGGCGGCCATCATGGAGTCCCAGAACGAGTAAACTTCCCGGAGGTCGTTCTCATTGAAATCCTTCGCTTTGATGAGTAGACCGTGGTAAGGGATCTTATCCCCTGTCACGACGGGGACGTTGATTTGCAAGCAATAGTTTTCCAGGAAGTAGTTGAAATGCTTGAGTCCTTTCCCCTCCTTTGCAGCGGTCTCCTTGCGCTTGTAATCTCGGGCGTCTCCGTACACGACGCGGCTCATGGTGAGCGTCGAGTTTGTTTGATCGAGGTTCAGTTGTGAGCTTCGACCTCGTTTGGAACACTCGTTTTCACTGGGTTTGTGCAAGCGTTTTCGCTGGGTTGTGTTTACCTGGTGTCATTGGGTGTTGTAACCGTTACGTTAAGCAATCGTTTTCCACGTTGTACCGGCGTTAGACGTGGGTGCTAGCAGGTGCTAGCCGGATGAGATTTTTGCTAGCATTTCAGGGTACAGTCCTTGCTACCGTGGACCATCCTAGCTAGCCACCGTGGACAGTCGTTGCTGCCGTGGACCATCCTAGCTAGCCACCGTGGACCGCCTGGTGCGTCATCACTGACCTACTTCAATGACGTCAGTGAAAATGTTCCGGATACTCGGAATGAAAGTATGCACTTGAGCGCCTATAAGGTGTACCTCTAGTAGGGTTATACGGGGTCTGAAATGTTGCTATAGCTGGGATTGTCAATCCGAGGCGTTCACATAGGCGGCTTCTAGTGTTCTTTAAGTTCTTGGTATGAATGAGATCACTGCTTGACATACTGATTAGCATGCAACCTTCAATGGAGAGGGGTTGGTCTAACTCGGTAATGTCATCATCAAACTCTTGGACAGTGTAGTTTGGAAACCAATATGAGGCGTTGTTGACTTCTTCGTCTTCGTCGATTAGACAACATAACTGCAGGTGGCTTCTCCTATGGTTGTACACAACAAATGCTTTAGTGACAAAATCTCTTCGCATGAACTCCACCATTGTTGTGTAATCTGAGAGTGTGGCATAAAGACTGGTTACTACTACCCACATTTTTGGAAAGAAGGGAAAAACAATGACAGCTGATGAGACTTCTATTTTGGAGGGAATGGTGGAGAGAGCTCTAGCTTCCTTGGGTAGTGAGGAGGTTGCTTGTGGCATAAAGACTGGTTACTACCCACATTTTTGGAAGAAGGGAAAAACAATGACAGCTGATGAGAATTCTATTTTGGAGGGAATGGTGGAGAGAGCTCTAGCTTCCTTGGATAGTGAGGAGGTTGCTAAGCATACCAAAGCTGAGACAGAGGATGAGAAGGAGGAAGAAGGGCCTGCTAAGAAAGAGGATGAGAAGGAGGAAGAAGGGCTTGCTAAGAAAGAGGAAGCTGGGGATGAAGAGGAAGAAGAGAGACCTGCTAAGAAAGCTAGGACAAAGAGACCTGAAGAGTCTCATCAAGGGTCAGATGTAGAGGGGCAATCAGAGCCGTGGTATCCACCAGGCTATTGCAGGTATGGTTATGGTGCTAGAGGCTATGGTTACAGACCTAATAGGTATGGTCGCGGTGGCTACTACGGTCGAGGTGGAGGAGACTACGGGTATGGTCAAGGGTACAATGCACGTTGGTAGGAGGATGGACTTGGTGTGAACTAGAGGATTTAAGATATTTTAGGATGGGTTCCGTCTTGATCCATTCTCTTAACCATTTTGGGTATTTTTCTCTTAAAGTTCTCTTCCTTGGAGTTCTTGGAGAGTATTCGGGTCTCCTTGTTAGAGGGAATGACATTCTGTTATCACCGACTGGGAACATTAGTGCAGTTATTTATGAGATGTATTGGTTAGGACTTAACGAGGATTGGTTTGTTGAATATAATGTTGCATTGGTTGGCTTGAGAGGTGGTTTTTGAAGGTCCGGCTAGTTGGTCTTTCCATGACACTGCTGATGTATTTGTCGGCGGGTGTTGTTGTTGTTTTGTTTGCCCAGGTTTCCACTGCTTTGCTTAGGGCTTTTTGGAGGTTTTTTGGTTCTGTATGATGGGATGCATATGCTTTGTTGAAGGCGTGTTGGAGAGTATTTGGGATTTTTGATTGGGTTGTTGCTTGAATGGTTTCATAGGCTGGTTCGATGGTTGGGTCAATGTATCTGTGGTGCCATTTGCCATTTTCACCTGAGCTATCGATTATCAGGTATGTGTATCGGTCATTTAATAGACCTAAGTCATTTGGGTTCTTTTGGGGATACTCGTTCATCATCACAACTACATGAGGGATGTGTGTGAGGAAGGCTTTCTTACTCTTGTATTTGGGTGATTTTATCACACAATTCTTTGTCTCTTCCAACCAGGCACTAGACACGTACATGCTTCTGGACCGTGGGGCGTCCATGAAGATTATGTTTGGGGTGCCTTCTTCGATTACAAGGTTTATAACTTCATAGGATAGGTTTTCGCATTTGTCTGCTCCTACTTGAATGGATTTACCATACTTCTCCTGATAGTAGTTGGTGTACCATGTCTTTCCACAATTGCCGATTGGATCGATAACAAAAATCACTTCACGGTCATTGAAAGGCTCCTGGAGTTTCTCTGTTAGGGAGTTTTGCCAAGGGCGGAGTTCATGTTCAACAACTGGAACTCGTGGCATGTGTTGAACAATTAATCCTTTCCAATACTCTTCATGTCTTGCAGCAATTTCAGCGGAGTATGCACGGACTTGGCTCATGTGGACTATCTCGCTTTTTTCGATCTTCTTTGTAAGATCACAGTACTCATCACCTTCACGCTTTCTTCCTGCTTTTGTTTTCTGCTTTAGACGTGCAATCGCGTCTAGGTTTTTGCCTACAACATAGTAGTTATTATCTTTCATACAGTAACGGAACGAAGCAAGTGGAGGGGCTTTTTGCATATCATGGGGGACGAGATGGAAGGCTGTGCGGTTATATCCAAAGAACTTGAAGACACCTTGCTGACGCTTAAGAACTGTCTTGAAATGGACATAGCCTTGAAGGTGGGGTGTACCACTTTCACCTACTTCTTTGGCTATGATGGCGCTAACGATCGTGGATTCATCAGTCTTTAGGGTTGATTCAATTTGTTCGTAGTCACTTGCTGTGTAATTGTTGAAGGTGAGACACCAGTGGCGGTATTGCCCTTTGTTGTTGAATCTCGTTCCTTGAGGATTTGCGAGAGTAGGGGTAGGGTCTGTTGCCAATGTTTCTCTAAGGATCGCATCTCCTTTGGGATGCGGATGCGGTGATGGCGGCAGTGTTTGTGATGATTGATTATCATGGTCAATCTTTTCTTCATTTCCTTCAATTGTTCTGTTTCCATCATTGTTGACGACATCTCGATTAACGACGATTGGGTTAGCAGGAGTGGGTTGATCATTGTTCATTGCTATGGGTTGAATGTTTTATGAGACGACGACGATGTGACAATGTGACGGGAAAATGAGGTTAAGGAGGGGGTCTAAGCTACAACAGTCGTCTAGGCAATAGAGCTCCGATATTTGTTCTCTAACCTTAACATGTTCCGGATACTCGGAACACGGGTTCCGGATACTCGGAACATTGGGCTTGACTGACGTCAGTGGGCGGTGTCATGGGTTGCTTGTTCTTTGTAAGGGTTGCACAAGTAAAGTTGAGAAACTACAAGGTTGTAGGTCGCTCACTCGCCGCGAGGCTGTTTGGAATGACTCAACTGCCGATCGAATCGTTGCTGCGGTTTGCTGCCGATCGGATCGTTGCTGCGCTCCTGTGTGTTTGTACCAAAATTCAGCTGCTGCTGATGCCGATTGGCGCCTGCTGTTGTTGCGCGCTCCTGTGTGTTGCTGCTGCCGCCGCTGTTTCGGTGGTGGGCATCATGGGCGTGCTTCATGGCGCGAGCTGCCTAGCTAGCTAGCCAAACACTCTATTCACTAGGTTGTTATCTAACCTACACCGTTCGGAGCCGCGAGATGTCCTCAGCATCATTGGTTTCTTGGCATTGGGCAAGAGGTAGTCTAGATGGCAACGACTGATGGCTGCGAAGTATTGGCTTGTGGGGCTGCTGGGCCAGCTTGTATTTAATTCTATTTCTTGGGACGGGGAATCTTAAATTAAGGGTGGTCCCACTACTATGTAATTTTCAGTACATCAATTAATTTTGAATAATTAATGTGGGTCCCAAATAGCGGTTTTACTATAGGAAAAACAGTACCTGGGACCTGGGACCGAGGTGAGGTAATAATAGTATCGCACCCCGGCTCCCTGAAAGTTTTACATGTAGTTGGAGTAATCTTTTATTGTGGAGGTTCACTGCCCAATCGCAATAGATCTGTGGCTAGGACTCTCCGAAAATGACCTGTGTTAGCGATTTATGACTATCCAGTTACCAGCTTACTAGAATCAGCCACACAACCACAACCACAACCACAACAACAACCAAGTAGTAACACACAACTATAGCAATTCCTCTACCATCACCAGCCTTTTTCGGCTTATCAGGCGTGGTAGCTAACGATTGATAGAAGAAGAAGGAGTTTGTTAACCGTTCGTTCATTCGAAGCAGCGCCATTGTCGCCGATTCGAAGCTACCGATTCGGAGCTACCGTTCGAACACGACGAGAAGAAGACGAAGCTACCGTTCGTTCGATCGAAGCAACGGCCGTATCCCATTGTCGCGAACGAAGACTCATACACCGTTCGACCGAGGTTTCAATCATGGCTTCGTACTGTGCAGCCCCACGAGTTGGGCATCTGGATGCTGTGTTTCATATCTTGGCATATCTCAAGCAGCACAGTCGTTCTCACCTTGTTTTTGATCCTTCCTACATGAACCATGTGGAACCAGAGCGACCTGATTGGAGCGATTTCTATGCCGATGCGAAAGAGCTTTTGCCACCAGACATGCCGAAGCCCCTTGGCAAACCAATCCAAATCACCACGTTTGTGGATTCTGACCATGCTGGGGACAAGGTGACACGTCGTTCGCATACTGGTGTACTCGTTTTTGCTAACATGTCCCCAATTATCTGGTATAGCAAGAAGCAGGGCTCCATTGAGACTTCTTCCTTTGGATCTGAATTCGCAGCAACGAAGGTTGGAATCGAGATTGTGGAAGGCTTGCGATACAAGCTCAGGATGATGGGAGTCCCTCTCGATGGTCCAGCTCATGTCAAGGCCGACAACATGTCAGTGATCAAGAATTCAAGTATCCCAGAATCTACCTTGAAGAAGAAGAGCAATTCGGTCGCCTACCATTATGTTCGTGAGAGAGTCGCTGCGGGCATGGCCAACATCACCTACGAGAATACTGAGAGCAATCTGGCGGACATGCTGACCAAGATCCAGAACGGGCCTGTGAGACAGCGACTGGTGTCGAAAGTCCTTTATTAACAATCTGCAAAAGGCAACATGACCATAGGGTGGGCCGCTGTTGTTGGTGGCAGGTCTGAGCCTCCAAGGGGACTTGTCTCCAAGGGTACATCCTGTTTCAGACTCATGAAGTCTGTTTTCCCATTCCAAGTGCAATCTAGAGTGAGATAGATCCCCCTCTAGCTTGAGGGGACCGAAAATGACCTGTGTTAGCGATTTATGACTATCCAGTTACCAGCTTACTAGAATCAGCCACACAACCACAACCACAACAACAACCAAGTAGTAACACACAACTATAGCAATTCCTCTACCATCACCAGCCTTCTTCGTCTCGGCATGCGTAACAGCAGTTCAACCCGCTGTTGGCTCTCCACCACTTAGAGCAGTGCTTCGAAGGTATTGGTGTGGGTAGTTTGTACCGGTCTCGTTGCCGTCAATCGAAGGTATTGAGCAACCCAGAGCAACCAGTCGCAAGAGGATAGCCCGTAACCAGGCTTGTGCTTGGTTACATCTACCAAACGCCTCAAAGGCATTGCAACCAGACGATGGCTCTATGGCTGCACCTCTGGTGCAAGCATGCCCACCAGCCACCTCGATTGGAAGGTGGGTGTGTGCCGGCTTTTCTGCAATATCCGATGGTTAAGCCTTGGTGCTAAATCTAATCACGCGAGGGAAAACCTCGAAGGTTTTGGTGTTATTGTCGTCGCGGCGTGTCTTCACTGATCCTGAAGCCCCCAAAGTATCGACTATAGACCCGAACAGAGCTACCAAAGAACCAATGTTCCAATTGTTTGCATCTCGCTGTGAGCGCCTGTCGGCTTTGACTTGCATTCAGCTACTACGGTCGAGGGTACAATGAACGTCCATTAATAGTCCTAAGGTTAGACTTGATAGATTTTGTGAGAGTAGACATGTTCAATGAATGAATGTGGGGTGTTAGGCGGGAGGGGGCGGTACCAGGGCTTGGACTTGTTTGTCAAGAGCTCTTCATTCATGCGGATGATACTGAGATGAGGTGTGGTCAAAGCATTGAATGGTTGTTTACCTTGTGTCTTGACGCTTGAAGCTTCGCTCAACAGTGCACTCTTGATGCGTTGCATCATGACATTAGCGTCTTCCATGGATGGGGTGGTGGTGGGGTAGATATCGAGGAAGCGTACCATGACCCTGATGGCTGCCTTAACCTTTCGGTATTTACATCTCATGTGGTTGTCGACTTTGGGAGTGGACTTGTAAGATTCCATGAAGTTGCAGGCAAAGAAATTGATAAATACAACTTTGGGGTCCGTGTTCCTTGTGACAAGATCAAGGAGTGCCTTGATAGGTCGGATGTTTAATTCAGACTGAAATGGGAACTGGGTGTAGTCAGCGGCGGTGGCAATGGAGGAGGTGACAGGAGAAGGTACTGGGACGATGGTGTCGATGAAGTTGGTCTTGGTGAACAACTCTTGGCACGCCGACTTGAACGTGTTGAACTCAGCTAGTTCAAGTCCAGCTCGTGACAGTCGTTGTAGTAGGGTGGAAACAATGATGTGGTTCTTTGGATCTTTGAATAAGCCATTGGGTTCTGCACGGATCTGGTCTAATAGCTGATCCCACTTGGAAAGGACACACATTAGAACCATTTGATTCACTTGGATGCAGAGCGAGTCTTCAGGGATGTGGCCGAAGAAAACTGAGCAGATTTTGTCGCCTATGTCTTTCGAGATGGTGTCATATGACGGGATGGTCACACGTTGGTAGTCACTGCCAACCTTGGACCAGGCTGCAAGAGCTTTTGCACCATCAAGAAGGTAGGGAAAGGGGTTTGAGAAGTACGCGGCACGAGCTCCTGGTCCTGAAATTTTCCCTTCATTCCATCCACCGAAAAGTTCTGCTGCAATATGGAGCTTGTTACCATCAAGGAGGAACTGAGCAGTGTGCTTGCTGAAGTGTGATGTGCCTTTTCGGACAGTGGTGTTTTCTGCAGGAGGATACCGCTTCCAGATGGTCTTGAGAATAGCATCGTAATGGGATGATACATCACTGGTGGTGGCTATCGATGGCATCAGGGCTTTGTCATTGCGGATGAACAAGGCCAAACCGATGGCGACAACAAGATCACCAAAAACATCATATTTGTTGGGGATCAGAGGGTGGTTGTTGTCGGCCCCCATCTTGTCACGTACAAGGTAGCATTGAAGGATGTTGTTGAGGGATCCTTCATGAAGTTCTCGGACGGAAAGATTCTGCACAGAGAGGCGGGAAGTCTCGGTTGCCCTGCTGCAAAGACGGAGGGTTGCTGTCTGGAAGACATAGAAGTCGATGTACTTTTCTAAATTGAACCAGAGGCAGCGCTGCAGGATGAATGCAATGTCTCCACTGGTATAGACTTTATTCTTGGGTGGTGAGGGTGAAGCTTTCTTGCGTTCCTTCACCATGGTCTTCAAGGATTTGAATGCAGATGCGTAGGTTTCTTCAATGACTTTCAGGTAACGGGATAGCATGAGCTTTTTAGTCAATTGGTTCTTGATTGTAGGCATGTAGCGTTCCAAGGTACCGAAGGAGTCCCCGTTGCTTTTCTTGAGACTGAACCAAAAGGCTGGTTGACCTTCCCAGAATGCAAACCACCACTTTGTTACATCGTCGTTGTTGGTGGAAAAAGAACCACCAGTTTCACCTATGTCGGTATAGTTGACCTTGGATAGACCGAGTCGGTGTTGGAGGTTATCTAGATAGGGTTGGATCAAGGTGGCTGTGCTGTTATGCTTGGCCTGACAGGACTTTGAAGCTGAACCATAGAAGTTGACATTGATGTTCTCTAGAGGGGATCCCATTGCAGGTCCTTTGGCTGTCCTTTGCTTCAAAACTGTGAGCTTCCAACGTCCTTTGGAGACTTACACCTTCGACTTGGGCCGGCGGGAGATCGGGATGACCTTCGACTTGGGTCGGCGGGAGATCCGGATGAAGTTTTTCATTCTCCGAGCTACCTAGTGATGACCCAGTGAGAGTACTATTGAGCTAGTGAGCCGGCGAACTCGATTACTTAAATTGTTTCCGCCTGACAGACTAATGACAGTTAAAGGTTCACAACTGTTGATTAAAATGGCGCGAACTGCCAAGGTGCACCTTGGGGGTGCTTGCTACCAGCCTAAAGACCAAGAGCCTGGCTCTTGGTTTTTTCACTCTTTTAAGAAATATTTTAGATCGTACACTGAGGTGCCGTCTAGTAGGCCAGGTACCTGCAGTGGCACCTCAGTCTATCTAGACTACAATTTCATAGCAACCTGCTTTTAGATCACAACAACACAACAATAAGCTACTAGTACTGTATTATCTAAATATGGAAGTAGTTCAAATGTCATGTTACGGATTACTACACCGTAGTACTGACACAGGAATCACCAGTTGTCAATTCGCTCCTGCTGCCTTTCTACAACTCGATGGCGATATGTGTTCAGGCTGGTGATAGAGGGCTGAAGTTATTCCTCTGTAGTGATCCATTGACAGCGGCTGTTGGAAGTACATCTAGCTAGAGAAGCATTTGCAGCCTCTTGTTTTCCGGACGACCGATCAACCAAAATTGTCTTGACCGTCAGCAGCAAGGGAATATAATGTAAGAAATAGAGATAGGGATCTCTTCTCTTCTGATACTGCAGACAACCCAACAACCGAGACGTATACCCTTGCTCTTCAAATCTCTCCAACTTGAATGTCATGGGCCGAGAATGGGACTTAGTAGTACCGAGGGAGGTGCGACCGATCGACTCGTTCAAACAACTTGCAATTGTAATAGTGGCGACTGAGGCTGCTGTGACCTGGCTTCACTTCAGTTGTGTTGCCATTGTGGGATGTAGAGTTGGCTTTGGCTTGATAAAACCCTTCCACAATGCCCTCTGATGGAGGAAAGTCCCCAAAAGAGGAGAAAATGGAATCCTCCAGTTTGATAGCTCCTGAGTAATTACACAGCCACAAAATTGACTTCTAGATTAAACGGCTGCGACGGGCATGCAAATATTGACAAAGTAGTTATGGGGAGCACCTTCTGGATGTTACCATGAGAGTGACAAAGTACATCTACTTTAGAGGAGGGAGCTGTGACAAGAAAAAATGAGGGATGGTGGCTTGTGTTTGATGTGATGCTGTTTCATGCAGCTCACGCCAGCGCTGTATTACTAGACGCTACTAGCTAGCTAGTAGTACCAGTAGCGAGATTGGATTCAAAAATGGTGGGGCAAAAACAGCATGCAGCTTTTACCGGCTTATTCCAACCCAAGAAATCCATGGTGTTCCGTGCAAGTCTCTGGACTCTGGAGGCTCTTGGTTTTGACGGACCCTCTTGGTTCTTCGGGTGGTAGCTTGTGCGAATCTTTCCTCTGGACTCCACCCAAGCAAGCAAGCTCCCTTCTCACTCTCATTGATGCATTGTGGTTTGTGGTTGCAAGTTAGATAGATGGACTATGAATGTGTCTCTACTAGCTAGCGACTAGATCACCGTTCTGATTGGAACAACCAGACTGTCATAAAGTTGCTTGCACTGTAGAGAATTGCGAAACGGATGAATCGAATCATTAAATCCTCTACTAATCCTGCAACGTTGGATCTCTCAAGTTTTTCGAGCGAGATCAGGCAAATACCGAACTGTTTTGCTGGTACAAATTCAAGTGGCCTTCCATTCCATATCATTGGAGTGGTGAGAATAATCAGCTAAGAATGCAGGCAGATCAGGACGACAAGAAACCAGATCAAGAACAAGAAGAATCTGTTTTCACGGAGGGTGACGATCATTCATCATCGTCGTCATCTTCTGCAAAGCCATCGAATGATAACGAGAAGGTCAAACCGGGCAAGCATGAGAGTCCATCTGATTCAGGAGAAGAAGAAGAAAAGAAAGAGTACAAGTCGGATTCTTCGTCATTAGTAGAGGACAGCAACCTCAAGGAAAAGACTAGAGAGGAGGAAAATGACGACAACTCTTCAAAACGTGCCCGCGACGGCGGGAAAATAACTGTGGACACCGACGAGAGGCTTTCGGAAGAGGACGGAGAGGGTGCAGAGGAGGAAGATGGACGAGGATCTTTGGGAGAAGCTGATTCCGAGGACGAGAGTAATCTTGAAAACAACAATCAGCACCATACAGAATCTTCCAGGGCTGAAGCACCGGTATTTGAGGAGTTGGGAGTTCCCTTCTTGCTGTATCGAAATCACAACGAGGAAGATGCGCTCCTTCTCGAAACCCAACCAGGGGGTAATGCTCCATGGGCTGCTCGACAACAACACACTGGACCAGAACTACAAGCAAAGTTTATCCATTCCAATACCATGGCCTTGCGTCGAAGTCAAGCTCGATGGTACTATCCAATGGACTATCCAGTGGTTCAAGCCGCTTTGGTGGAACAACCAAACCAAAAACGTCGGAAGCGAAGGACTGATCCAGGTTCCACTTCTGACAAGAAGAGCACGCATAATCAGTTGGATCCCTTTCGAAATGAACAAGCGGACAGCGCGAGGGGATTCTTTGAATCGAGAGTCTTTGGTTTGGTGGATTCCGCGCGTCAAACAATGCTGGACACGGCAGACCATCCAGACGACAATGACGTTTACTGTATGCACAATCAGCCGTTTGCTACACCGGACTACACATGGGAAGACATGGTTCGATCCAAGAGTTTCAAGCGGCGAAAGCTTCTTCAGGCGTACCGAAAGTCGGATTGCACGTACATTCCAGCAACGTGGAAACACCAACGTGGCCGGAATAGTAAGGAACCGCCCAAACTTCATTTGAATCAGTCGCGACAAAATGATTCCAAGTTCTTCGCGCAACAACGGTTGGATTTGGCAGACCCAGCATACCTTGCTCCGTTTCCCCTCCAAAGCTTGGTGCAGTCGCTGCAAGAGGATGATGGTGATGATGATGGAGATGCATATGGCAGCCCCAACAGCGACAACGACAAACACAGGAATACTCGTCCCGATTCTCTACGAAAGAGTCGACAAAGGCAAAAGCAACATCCCCAGCCAAATGATGATGATGGTGCCGTCTTTGGGAACTGCATTGCTTGCGCGCCGTGTACGTGCCCAGGTTGTACCTCGCATGAAAAAGGCCCCAATTGGTTTCTCCTTCACCCCGTGGGAGAGCTGTTGGAGACAATTGTTGCATCTACTTTGAAAACACGATACGGACTTGCTGATAATGCCATACTCAGAACCCAAGAAAACATGAAACAGCAAAAGAAAGTGGCCAAGAGGCCTTCCTACAATCAAATCGACGTTGGAGATTCTGTGCGTCAGATTGAGCAATGTGGAGGCCAGACTGGTTCTGTCTTCTTTGCGAGGACAACAATTCACGTCACAGTGTTCTCGGTACTCCCTTGCCAAGACGATAGTTTGGCCGACGAACGAAGGAGGCAAAAGAGGAACGCCACCAGTTCCACGAAAAAGCTCTGTTGGGGGACCTTTCAGCTGACCAAACTTCAGAGAATCGATCTCCGATCATTCAACAGACATTCGTCTTCGTACTTTCCTCTCCACGTTGCAAGCTACACAACATTTTCTGGCTCGTTTCTTACCGGTTACCAGTGTAAGGTTGTCGTATTGTCCTCAGACTCTACCAAGGGCATTGAGTGCAACACACTTCACCATTTCCTGTTACCCATACCGCCAGATAAGAAGAATTATTCTACTGAATCTCTTCCACAGCCACACTGCACCAAACATATCATTCGAAACCTCCGATCTATTTCCCAGGTAGTTTTCTCCAACCGCCACCCCATGGTTCTGTGGGCCTCTGCCCTATCCTTTGTTCGACCAGCGCCTACAGCTGACCATGCGAGTAGAAGCTCGAACATTCAGCCTAGAGCAGGCCACGGGAGTGCATTGTATGAAATTGATCTTCGAACCAGCGAGGCAACGTATCGATGGAGCCCAAGTGCGGAGGACTTTCTGGTGGAAACAGTGCATTCGATAAGTTGCATTGCTGTCAACAGCAGGAATGATGGTTCAAGCCGAAAAGACACCCTGTGGGTGAGTTCCATCTCGGCGGGGAAAATGTATGAGCTCGATCCAAGTTTTACAGTTTTGAGAGTCGTAAACAGTTGGTCTCTGGCAGGGTTATGTGATGGCTTCGGTGTGGCGCTGCCTCATTTGGACAGTGGCGCTCTGATCGTCAAAGCAGCAGTCTCGAAGACCACTGCTTGTCCAGGCTCTGACTGGAGTCTCCACCAGCTTCCTTTCGTTTCCATCCGCGCAAGTGCAACAACTGGGATTCAGATGTTTCAATCGGCATCTGAAAAGCCTCCCTTTCAAGCCGACAATCTCGAAACCGCCATTTCTTGCGCCCTAACCCCAGCCCAAAGGAAGTATGTTTGCATGAGTTCATTCATCACCCTTCCCAAGTTCCCACCCAACAAAGTGGCCTGTGGACTTGCTTCCGTAATGCTGCCGCTTTCATCCTTCGTAGCTGAGGGTGACCGTGTTCGAGCGGGTATCCCAAGTGACGCATGCGATCACATCAACTGCCTGATAACAATGGTTAGCTCCGGGGATATACAAGCGCATATCCTTCTCGGTTCCTCTGATGGAATATGGAACAACTCGGAGCTGCCGGGGGGGATTCCGTTGGGAATCGGCGCGGGGGTCAGTAAGTTAGCAACCTCGATTACTACAGTGGCAAACAATGGACCAGAATATAAACTTGCAGGGGGCATGGGCCTCCACTTGGGTGTCCATGTAGACATGAACCAAGAGAGGAAATGGCCATCCACTGAACGGTGGGGCGGGAGCGAACAGCGTAGCGTGAGGCCGTTCAAATACTCTGATCTTCAACGTCTGTCCGCTGGGGAGAGACACGACCCTGAGGGTAATGCTGATGATTCCTACATCATTCGCCGGCTCCGCAATCTGCATGACAGTCTCCCGGCCCCTCTAACACGAGAATCGCAACGGGGCATGGGCTGTCCAGATGTTCGGCTGGGTCAGGTGGATATTGAAACGAGTGTTGAGGCCTTCCAAGCTATCATGACTGGCGAAAGAAATCCATTGGACAGTTCTGGTGCCGTCACAGAAAATGTCGATAGGTCTGATGTAACGAATCAACTGTTGGATAAAGTCAAACAACAATGGGATAAACACGGGGAGAGCGATGGCGGCTGAAGTAAACAACGGGGACTTCTTTGCCAAAAGATGGCGGAACTAAGCGAGCTACATAGCAAAAGACATGGATCAAGTGGCGTCGTCTCAACTCGTTTTAGTCTACTCTCTTAGGTTGTAAGAGCTCTGTTGGATCGAAACAGAGAAAGGCAGCCGTCATGGTGCTCCTCGTGACCAAGCACTTCTGCCTGGATGGACTCATAGATCGCAGTAAAACAACTTTCAACGTCCTTCAGTTTGAACGGCTTCGACAACATTCCGGCAGCTCCAGCGTTCCGGCAAAGACCTGGAAAGTCGTCGGCGATATGGGCCGTCACGAAGTATATCTTGGGTGCACCCCCACGGTAGTTTTCAGAGTGACTGTCTCGGATTAGATGGCAAGCCTCGATCCCATCCATGACAGGCATCTGCATGTCGAGCAACACCACATCAAATTTCTTGGATGCCTCCATCTCGACAGCCTTTTGACCGTTGTCGGCAATTTCTATGTTGTGAATTCCGATACGGTTCAGCATCCTTACCATGACCTTTTGATTTATCAAATTGTCTTCTGCGATCAATACGCGATAGTCCTCGTAAGTTGGTGTCATCCTTGCAGACTCTTCCGCGACACGTCGGCTGCTTCCGCCGCAAGAATCGCAGGTCGAATTTCTTTTTAAACCAACACCAAACGGCAGAAATTGAGCAGCCAAATGCTCCACGAGGACGGCAGGTAAAGTTCGATCCAATGATCGTATGTGGGCAAATTCATCCGAAAGGTTGTGCTTGGCTCCGACGACGGTAAAGGATATCTCAAACCACAACTTCTTTTGCAGCAGTATTCTTCGGCATTGGATTTCATCGTAGAACTCTTCATCAAGCAAACAGAGCAGGTGTTGTTTGGTGACTTCGTCTCCAGCTTCTTGAACATAGTGTTGCAACTCATCTAGGCTGGCGAACGAAACACACTTGACGCCATAAGCTTTCATTAAGTCTTTCATGCGGTCAACAGTTTCTGCTTGATTGCATACCAATCCTACGGTAGACGATTTGAGCTTTTGAGACAATCGACGAGCCTTGAGAGGTGCCATCATTCTGTTTGGGAACTCCACCGAGAACTTGGCCCAGCTTCCCGCCTTGCTCTCCACCGAAATTCTCCCTCCGAGTGCGTGCACCAACTTAGACGTGATGGCAAGACCTAATCCAGTCCCCCCACCGTGTTTGAGACCTACAGGTGATTGCCTGAAAGGCTCAAAGATCGCCTTCATATCAGGCTTGCTGATGCCAGCCCCGATATTTTTGATACTGAAACGCAGCACGTTGCTTCCTTCTGCAAGCTGGTTGGCGGCTAGTTCGGACGGTTTGTCGTCGGTTGGTGAATAAAAGTCTGTGGTGCCATCCTCGCAACCCTGGACAGGATCCCCGATTTCCAATCTAAAATCAACTCGGCTGCCAGTGTCAGCAAACTTGATTGCGTTTCCCAACAAGTTGTACAGAACTTGCTGAAGACGTCGAGGATCGGTGCGCAGCGAGGGTGACACGTGGGCACCAAACTCTGTGTGAAGATTGATTTCTCTTTCTTCCGCTTTTGTCTCCATTGCAAACACAACCGAGTTCAAGACCTCTTGCAAACTAGATCGCTTCGTCTCGACTTCCATTTTGCCGGCTTCCAGCTTGCTAAACGTCAAAATATCGTTCACTACAGCAAGTAATAAGTCTGAACTGCTCACAATCATACTCATGGATTCCTCTTGCTGGGGAGAAAGGTCCGTGTCCTGAAGCAACGTTGCCAGGCCAATAATGCAATTGAGAGGCGTCCGGATTTCATGCGACATGCAGGCAAATGTCTCGAGCTGGGCTTTGGACGTCGCTGCCAGTTTGCGATTAGCGAGCTCCAGCCGTGTGTTGGTTTCTCGCAAGGTTTCGGTTCGTTCCTCTACGAGTTTCTCGAGCAGAGATACATTGACCGAAGATTCCCAAACCTTTTTGGTAAAGAGCCTTTGTCGTCGCTCAACGCAAGCATCGTACACGTAGAGGAGACCAGTAACAAATGCAAAGAGAGACAGCACTTGAAGCACGTAGAATATTGGTTGGTTTGTGGTGAACTTTTTATCGAATTGCTTTGCTGGGTACACTGTCATCCTCAAAGGACATCCCTTGTCGCTCATTGGGATCCCAGAGTGTTGAGTTGATGCCGAGGCAAGGTCCAGCAAGCTAACTTCCCGTTTGAGATGATTGTAGGATGGGTCGTGTTGGTCACCATGTCCAAGGGAGGTTGCTCGTGGTCCATCGACCTGATACGATACTGTCTGGCCGCAATCGTTGGAGAGCACAATGATTGCCCCACTCTTGGAAGGTAAGACGTTGGAGAGAACATCTTGCCAAGAGATGCTCGCCACGATAACCCCAATGACCGGCGAAGAGGCACCATCCTTATGGGCGGGATCAGCTGCCCCCGAGGTGATGGGGTAGATAATATCACTCATTGGACTCACGACATTACTAGCTGTCCCCTGACACTGGGTAACCGGTTTAGACTTGTTGGCGTCAGCCTCCTCAGGCACACTCTGTAACTCTGCAAACACAACTCTGCCATGTTGCACAGTTTCACTCCAAATGGTTGGATTGCTGTACAATGCTGAGAAATCTCGGTTGAAGGTCTTTCCACTCGAACGCACAGGCGAGGATTGCCAGGAAAGCAACTGATGCTGCTGCTCAGTCATTTCCAAATCATTGCTGTTGCTCTCAGATCTGCCGTTGTAATTCCTCAACACGCGACTTAAGACGCCTGATACCCTTTTCTCCCCAAATGGAATTGTGCCATTGTTGGACTCTTCCAGACTATGTTGTGGCAAGTCTTCACCCTGCTGTTGCCCTTGCGACCGCAGTCCCTCTTGAACCCATGCACTGTTATCCTTTGTGTATTCCTGCCATTGCCGTACCTGATCAGGAGATATCAGATTGTACTGACTCAGGCAGGCCACGTTAGAGAATCTTCGTAGCTTGGCCATTTGGTACGGGGCATCTGGGAGGGTTACAAAGGGCCACTGCATCTGAGAGTAGCGAGCAAACGAGACCATGCCAACAACAAAGGTATCCACGGCTCCTAGTGCCGTTGACAGGCTTTGCTCCACTGCCTCCACGAGACTGGTCGAAGAGTCAAGGGAGGATTGTTCGAATCTCTCGCGTTCAGATCTTTGAGCCACCGAAAAGACCGTGAATGCCACGAGGGCCGTCGAAATGGCCAAGACGAGGAGAACAATTCCTCGCAGAATTAAGATGGTGAAATCTTCTGGTTGAGCAATAGCTTTGGCGATGTTTTCACACTTATCACTGATGATGGAGTTGGAATTCCGCTTCTCTGGCTCTTCAGCAGTCGAGCAACCACCGCCGGTCAAGTCCTCTTTCGAGTTTTGACGGTTGTAGGAAGGGGTATCCGTGAAGCTTCGTCGAAGAACCATCGTGCAACAGCGTTGTTGTTTGTTGGACCACTACTTTTTGATGAAGCAGGCACTTGAAGGTCAAAATAATAGAAGATATCGAAGCAGATACCGAATTGTGATCTGTTGGGCTGGGAGCTGGGAGCTGAGCTCTGGGAGGAAGATTGCAAGTCTCTGGTGGTCTGGTAGGGCTTGGGTGGCATGGAGTGCCCCGACCACACGGACCAGTCAGAGTACTAGTACTAGTACAGCGTAGCCAATAGCCATGCACCAGCGACTGACTCGACCACTATGACTGGACATTGATCTATGCATGCACAGTAGTAGTCCGAGTAGCTATTATTGCTGTTGTGCTCTCAGACCGCGCCCATGTCGGTACTAGCTTCCACTGCCTTATGATTTATGATACTAGTAGCTCTGAGTACGTGTAGGAGTACCAGTTTCTCACCATCAGGCGTGACGGTTTCAGCATGCGATGTCAAGCTTCTGCCCCTTCGAAAGATCCGAGAAAGTCTAGCCCGCCTAATTTGTCTCTAGTACAATTATTATACAGCGGACATTCGTGGTGTTCGAGCTGGTTACTCTTTTACTCTTTTCACTGCAAAGCAGCATTTCGGGTCTACGAATATGTCCAAGGTAATCAGATCCTACGCTTTTCATCTCCGTAAGCGTAGAAACCAAGAATAGCTGTCCATAAGGCGAAGGTCTCCAGGAAGCGTAATGAAAGAGCCTTCCATAAGCTGCAGAGTTTTGCTGAGTCATTATGCTCTGCCGGTAATACTCAGGCATTACTAGTAGCTACTATTTACTATTTTAAAATAGCTACTAGATCTAGTACTGTACATGTAATCCAGCGACAAACCCCGAACAGACTCTCCGAACCCCGAACAATGCATACGGTTACCTTGTTGGCGGTGATTGTGCTATTACGGTAGCTACAACCGGCCGCATTAGCCACACATTAGCTACAAGCTACCGTACCGGTACCACAGTACGTGCTCCCACTCGAGCACTCGAGCAAGGGCTGACAATAGGAATGTCAAAGGAGGGTGCGGTTAAGGGTACCGGTACCGGGACGGTGGTACGAATGGCAGCCCAGGCAGACGTCCAATTCCAGGCAGCATACTTTTACGGTACCAGGCAGGTGAGAACACCACTTCTCTCGTACACTTCTCTCAACTCTCAACTACGTCTCCAAGAATATGTACTCGAACAATACCGTTGCAATTGCTACCGTTCTATTTGCCCAAACTTTCGCAGCCAAAAGGGTCCAACGGAGCTCAGTCCACTAAAGGTCTTTACTAATACCAGCAGGCAGCCGGTTGGCCTTAATCGCGTTTTAGGAAAAGTCGTTCTAACTATTAGTAAGGTCGTGGAAAGTCATTCAAAGTCGCGTTCAAAGTCGCTATGAAGTCGAGCGAAAGTCGTGCACGACTTTAAAGCTTTAAAGTCGAGGTGAAGAGGTGGTAATAAAGTCGCGTCAAAGTTGCGGAAGTAATTAAAAAGACGTGTTAAAAGTCGCTATTAACGTCGTTCTATACTGGTACTAGAAGTCGACTTTCACGACTTTAATAAAATAAATGAAAATACGACTTCATGACGTCAACGGGCGCCTTCTGTTCGTCTTGCGACTGAACCAAAGCTGTTTTCAGCTGTTTTTGTGGTGGCTGGGCTTCCTTGCGCCCAGTACTAGCTAGGACAGGGGGTAGAGAGCACTACATACAGCCTGTGCATATGAACAGGGAGGATGCCTGCAGATTGAGAGCAAGGCCAGCCATTTTTTTGGCCTGAATTCAAAAACGTCCAATTTCTTGTGCAATCGAACAGGATAGCGACACCTGTTCAATTGCACAGGAAATGGACGGCCTGTGCAATCGAACAGGATAGCGACGCCTGTTCAATTGCACAGGAAATGGACGGCCTGCCTGTTCATATGTACAGGAGGCTGTACATACCAGGAGCTCGACGTCCTGTTCAAATGCACAGGAATTGTGACGTTTTTTTCTGAGTAGGCTTTTACAGTAACACATAGATCTGCCATTACATTCAGCATTACAGTCAAGCATGTCCTCTGCAAAGAATAGATGGTTGCAACTTCCTGTGTTTTCCTCTTCTCAGATAATGAAAAAGAAATCAGGAGAAATGAAGTCCAAATCTCTCAGTGACAAACCCAAAGCCACAAGCCACAAATGAATGCAAGAGCCAGATATGATAGTGGTAGTAGTGGTGGTAGTAGTAGTGAAAGGATCAGTTGTTCTTGTTCTTATGCTTCAGCTCCGGTGCAATTGCACAGGCGCTTGTGCAATTGAACAGGAGGTCGGATCCTGTACAATTGCACAGGAATCGCGTCGATCCTGTACAATTGCACAGGAATCGCGTCCGTCCTGTACAATTGCACAGGAATCACGTCGCCTGTTCAATTGCACAGGAATCGCGTCGCCTGTCAGGCCAAAATTTGACTGCAGGCTGGCTCTCTAAAAATCCTGTTCATATGCACAGGCTGTATGTAGTGCTCTCTACCCCCTGTCTGGTACGCTGTACTGAGTACTCTTTTTGCTAAAATAAATGGTACTCGAGTATGATAGATGTTGCTAAAGCCAACCCTATCCCATCCACACATCACCAATCACGCACCTCCCAAGATTGGTGATGCGTGATCCCCGCACCTATCCTTGACACCCATCACCAAACACGCAACATAAGCAAGACTGGACTCACGGACCAATGAAAATCACTTTAGAGTGCTGACGTGTAAGGCGCGGAACAGCACCACAACAAGAGACAACATGAAGATGCTACTCTTCGAAACTATCTAGCTAGAAGCAACACTTGTAATAGAATAGACAAAGAGCATCATGTCTATGCCAGCCTACGTTATGCAGGAACTGCGCAATACAGTTGCAGTGTACTGCAGGGAGTTGGTCATGGGAAACAAGGACATGAAGGATTCGTCACAAGAAGACATGATGTATTCATGCTATCACGGTGATACAACAAGAATGTCTCATGTACAAGCTTTGACTAAAGGCGAAGAGCCATTCACGGAAATGTTCTACAAGTTGGAGTTAGAGACCAACAGAGAGGGCAATGAGGAAAGAGCTCAGGCGAGGGTGAACTACATGCTGGAGCTCAAAGGAACGTTTCACTTGATTTTGGACAAAAGGATAATTGTGTATGAGAATGGCTTCACAGAAAAATCTCTTTCGGAAGATGGCAAGAGCGCAAAGGTGTCTGCCAGGAATATTTACGACAAGGCTCGCTTCAGCATCGCCAACTACCGAATTGCACTGGTCTTCTACAAGGAATACGCTGGAACAATGGAACCCGGTGTCAATCCATCTGGTCAAAACTTTGATGACATGATTCTTTTTGTCCACAAGAAGATATTTATTGCCCTTGGAGGAAAAACAAGGAAGCGGACACTGACCAAGAAAGAAAAGGAAGCAGGAAAAGTCTTTGACAAAACAGAAGACAATATGCCTGAGAAGTATCTTTTCCAGGGATTCTTTGCATTTTGTCTTTGAGGTCCGATCCCACTTTCTGGTAAGACATTATCCTGCCTTGCCTCTGACCATAAGAGCAAGGTTGAAAAGAAGTCGCGAAAAGATGCAAGGGAAGAACAAGCCAAGCAGAAAGCCTATGAGCACTCGGTTGATGAAGGAGCTGACGAAACCTTCAAGAGAGGAGTGCCATTACAAGACAAGAAAATCGCTGTTCAAATGGCTGCTGCCGCTCATGCAAGCCAACAGAAGAATGCAAGAGATTTGCTGGCAATCGCGAATGCTGACCATGCCGCCACCTCGAAGGAGTTCTTCCAAGTCCTGCAGGCTATGAAGGATGCCCCAGAAGAGAAAAAGGAGATGTACAAAGAGTGGAAGGAAGGGCTGGCCACAGAACTTACCAGCATTCGAAAGAGAAAGAAGAGGCTTCAAGAGGATTGTGACCAACTCATGAAAATGCCGAAGCAAGATGCTGCTATGGCAGATGAGTAAGAGGATGACGAGGAAGAAGCTGTTGATGACAATGACAGTACGGCAATCATGATTCGCAAAGCAGAAGTCACAATCAACAAAAGCAAAGAAGCCACGGACAACAAAGACAGCTCCCAGGAAAGCGATAACGGTGACAGCGATTCTTAAAAGTACTGTTGTAGCCCTTAATTTCTAGTAGGCCAGATAATTGCTCTACATCTCCACAATATGTCAAAGTGTTCCACCAGTAGCGATCGAAATTCTCTGTAAGACAGAGAGTTTATGTACACTGCACCATCTTCGTCGACAGTCTCACCAAACCCATCTGATGTGATACTCAAGTTGTCATCATTATCACCTGCAGCAGAGTCATCTTCCTGTGATACTTCCGGCACCAGGAGACCTGGTCGTGCCATACTCCTCTCATGCTCTCTGCTACCAAATTGAGCGATCTCTGGCTGTTGCAACCTCTGAACAGCGAATGGGGCATACTCGGCAAACCCCTCAGCTTCGTTGTCACCTAATTCTCCTTCCCAATCACTTTGCACTCCATTCTGCCATTCAGATGATAGCCCATCAATGTCAAGAAGCCAGTTGTGTAGTGCGCAGCAGGTGAGCCAAATATTGTCAGCTGCTTCGGTACCTTCCAATCTAATGTCAGCCTTGAGAATTCGAAATCGCCCTTTGAGGATACCGAAGGTACATTTTGCATCTTTTTGAAAAGACTCAATGAATTCGGAAAGGCGACGTTCAGGAAGAGTCAAGTCTGCTTTGCCTGGTGCTTGAGTGCACGACCATTGGTGGTACCCATTCTTGTCCACAAGTCCCCAAGAGCCACAATACCGTGATTCTTTTACAGGACCGCCAATCTGATTGCACCACGACAACAGGGTAAATTTCGCATCTTGTAAGATGTTACCTTTCCTCAAGCTGTACAGAAACTCGTCGTGGTAAGCCAAGGTCTTGTCATTCCACCGAGAGGGGTGACCTTTCAGAGTATGTAGGATTTGTTGCCTGTGATTACAGGTCAGATTGTATGATCGTGCAGGATAACTCTGTTTAAAACCTGTATTTGCTTGTTTCAAGTTGTGGGTGCAGCGCCACATAATGACATTTGTTGCGTCACTTGACCATCCAGCACCATGCAGTCCACCCATATTGAATTCATGTTGATGTGTCCGGTATTGCTCTGCGTTAACAGGATGGGTAACGTATTCCTGGAAGAGATCGCTTGATCCAAATTGGATGAAAACATGGAAGAACTGCCGATGTGTCTCCTCATTTATTGCTGTAAATTCCTTGAGATCATCAAATGTCAAGCCTCTGCCAAGATAACGAAGAGCTCCCAGTACCATAAGCTGAATTGGGAAACTTTCCTGCCCCATTGCGTCTTTTCTGTACCATCGCCGGAACTTCGCATAGACAGATGTCTTGGCAACTAATTCCAAGAAGGCCGAATGTGGAAGTCGAAATCTTCTCCGGAACCGTCGAAGGAAAATGTGATCTTCTTTGGGTGGATTTCGTACATAGAGCAGATACCAAACTGTCTCCTTTGGAGTCAAGCAAACCACAGTACCGCCATCATCAAGGTAGTATGGCCGATGTGCTTTCGTAGAGCGGCGTTTTCTACTTTTCTTTGTTCAAGTACTTCCAGTTGTTACAGAGGAGGTTTGGTGCTGCTGTTTTCTTTGCATGGCAGATTCCAGTGATGCAAGAGCTTCCCCTATTCCATCTTCGCTCTCTCCTACTTCTCGCAGCTTCTCTAGATCAAGAAGGCCATTGGCATCTAGACAATCAACCATGGGACTTGCTTTGCTACTCTCTTCTAGGAGTGCGAGTGAATATAGCATCATGGCAGTATCAACACTCTCTTTATTATTATTGCTATATCTAGTTTCATGTTGCATGTTGCATTCTTTCCAGGGTGGTAGCAGTGCCTTGTTTGGGATTTCCCAACATTGATCCTTGCCGTTGTCTATTGGTTTGGGTGTTGTGTGGGCCAAGATGCGTGAAAGCCAACTCCACGCAACAGACCCTCCTGTTCGGTGATGAATTTGGCAACACGCATCTCTGAGTCACACTCGCGAATGAATGCTGGATTCTGATTGCTACCACTCGAAGAACCAAGAGCCTCCAGAGTCATACACGGAACACCATGGATTTCTTCCTGTCTGTGCCAAGGTGGAACAATGATCCGAACAGCCAAAAGCTGCATGCCGTTTCTGCAGCCCAGTTTGAAAATCCATGAAACAACATCACAACAAACAGAAGCCACCATCCCTCATTTTTTCTTGTCACACCTCAGTCCTTTAAAGTAGATGTAATTTGTGACTCTCATGGTAACATTCAGAAGGTACTCCCCATACCTACTTTGTCAATATTTGCATGACCGTCGCAGCGGTTTAATCTAGAAGTCAATTTTGTGGCTGTGTAATTACTCAGGAGCTAGCAAACTGGAGCAGTCCATTTTTTCTTTTTCTGGATCTGATGTGGTTAGTTGACCCTGGGGAAGTCCTTTCCCAAGCCCAGACCAGCTCTACTTCACAAAATGGCAACACCAATGAAATGAGTATCCAATTGTGTACCGGTACCATGCTAGTAAGCCGGTGGAGTCGATCGAACGACTGGAATCCAAGCCTCTGTCAATTGGAGATGAGCCTCAGTCAATCGCACTGCCGACGGCCGATGAAATACCATTGTTCGATGCCCTGGATAACGAAAGAGGCCGCTGTCAATCAGCTACCGTTACAGAGGATTAACTCCAGGCTTCAATATTATCAAGCCTCACCCAAGCCGGCCACTAGAACTAATGGAACTCGCACCTCTACCGTACTGGTACAATCAAGCCTCGGTCCATCCAGCAGACCCATACACGACAACCCGAACGCACAGAGGAGAGTGGATCCTACTACTGGATTCATCCCTCCGTGTTGTTTCCTTGTGTTTTGGTGGTGATTCCTGTGTCAGTACTAGTACCCATTTTCCTGTATGCACAAGTCCTCGAGCAACTTCACCACTCGTTCCTCATATGGGTGTTGGATACAGATTTGTAACATAACCTTCAACCTACTTCCATATCTAGAGATAATAAGTAGCTTATAGTTGTGTTGTTGTGATCTAAAAGCAGGTTGCTTTGGCATTGTGGTTAAACATATACATAGCAACCCCGTAGCTCTGGAGCCATGTGGCTATCTGCAAGCTACTAGTAACTAGCTACCGGCACGGCTGTTACCGTACTGTAAGATCGAAAAATATTTCTTAAAACAGTGAAAAAACGGCTCTTACACTTGAGGCTGGTAGATTGGTTCGCGGTGATGCCTGATAGGTGATTCTTCAACAAGAGATCAATACTATGTGCTATGTACAAATGGTTTCGAGCAAGAGATGGAAGTTTCAATGCTTGCTTGAGCTGCAGTCGCATAAGAAAGCAGACATCAAAACATTTGAATGCACATCTGGAGTATGTCACAGCTGATCCCGATGCACACTCAGAAGGGATTATTGCTACCGGTATGGAAGGTCAAGTTGCATAGATGATGTGCATCAGATTTGACCTCTTGACACTGCCACATGGCTGGGTCTTTCGACGAAGGCATTGCCAAAATGCCTTCATTGTGCACTTGAGTGGCAGCACCCATTGCTGGTGGAACAAAGCT